GAAAAAAAATAATAAAAAAAAATGAAAAGATGAGGGGGAAAGAGCAAACGATTCATTATCGTTCTTCTTGAACGATAAAAGAAATCATTCAAGTCATTGTTCAAGTCAAACGATTTGTCATCATTCTTCTTGAATGATAAAAGAAATTGTTCAAGTCGAATGATTCATCATCGTTCTTCTTGAACGATAAAAGAAATCGTTCAAGTCGAATGATTTATCATTGTTCTTCTTGAACGATAAAAGAAATTGTTCAAGTTGAATAATTCATCATTGTTCTTCTTGAATGATAAAAGAAATCGTTTAAGTCGAACGATTCATCATCGTTCTTCTTGAATGATAAAAAAAATCGTTTAAGTCGAACAATTCAGTCATTATTCTTCTTGAACGATAAAAGAAATCGTTCAAGTCAAATGATTCATCATTGTTCTTCTTGAATGATAAAAGAAATCATTCAAGTCGAACGATTCAGTTATTGTTCTTTTTGAACAATAAAAAAAATCGTTCAAGTTGAATGATTCATCATCGTTCTTCTTGAATGATAAAAGAAATCATTCAAGTCGAACGATTCATCATCGTTCTTCTTGAATGATAAAAGAAATCATTTAAGTCGAACGATTCATCATCGTTCTTCTTGAACAATAAAAGAAATCATTCAAGTCAACTTGAGTCAACTCGAATCAAGTTGAGTTTAAATCAAGTCGAGTCAAATATTTAACTTGACTTGAATTTGGCTTGACTCGCAAATCATTGAGTCAAAAAAATATAAACTCAACTCAATTTAAACTAGACTCAGCTTATCTGACTCGTGAGTTAACTTGACTCGTCTAGAACTCTAGCTCTGAATACTTAATTAGCAACTTCTCGTTAAGATCATTAATTTTGGCTTTAGATTTAAGAGCGGAATATAATTTTTCTTTAAGCTCTTGCTCATATACACTACCAAGTCATTGACCGACCCCCTTGAAGGAGCTATCGCCTTTATTATTAATATCATTGAACCTATATAGGTTCGTTATAGCCTTTTTTTTCGGCTTAGTTGCTAATATATTAAAAAATATGTGACTAAAAATTTTTTATAGGATAACTGGATTCTTTAATGCATATAGCACTGATACTCCTGATACTTCCAATACTTCTGATACTTCATTTAGTATTAATTTTTTATACGCATTTTTACTAATATCACAAATAGTCTCCATACTATATGTAGAATTAATCCTTCTAATACTCTGCATAATACTGGTCCTCTGCATAGTTTTGATAGTTCACATAGATCACATAGTATTAATATTTCGCATATACATTTTTTATAAATAGTATAAAATCCGATCGACTACCAATATGATCAATCCCTTACCTAGAAGGTATATGCGCTCTGATGCCACAAAATTATCATCTACAGATTATGAAGATATTATACAATATCAGGATATAAAGTTCAAGCTCTGGAACAATTAAGAAAGAAATTTCATATATCAACTTCTCGCTTATATCAGATTTGAAAAGGGCAGGAGGTAGAAAGGGTCGAATGAAACTATTCGGCAGTCCTACTTTCTTATTCAAGTAAAAATAATATAGATAGGCAGGACATATCTGAGACCCTAGTAGAGTATATCACTATTGCTGAAAGTGAGGTAAAAAAGACTGGGGGAAAAAAAACTAAGTCTAAATCTGTTCATATCTCTGGATCACCTGTTATTCAGATACCACTAGCTTCAAAGAGTTTAAATATATGCAATGAGGAATTAGGAGCATTTTATGAGAAAGAAGATAAGAGAGATAGAAAAATCACGGAAGAAATGAATAGGATACTAGTCACGTAAAAGATGTTTTTCATTTAATTTGATATAGCGTGATAACAACTCCTCACATAGTCTATTGAGATTTTCTTTAGACTTAAGAGTGCTATATAGCATTTTTTCAAGCTCCTCATAACTCACTTTTTTTTAATGCATCATTATTCTTACTTGTCATTAAGGCGCTTCGCAAGTCCTATAGGTCCTAAGAAATACAATCTGGAGCTGGCAGATCATCGTTAGCTATACTAATCGCGTAATTCACCTTAAGCTTATTCTTGAACTTATGCATAGTAACTGGAATGATATAATCTTTTCTATTAAGGGGGATTTTTAGCTTGTTGGTATCCCAATCTATTGCGTATTTGTATTTCTTTAAAAGCTGATTAGAAAATATTAGCGTAGGTTTATGATATCTCATAACAAAATCTTCATAAATGATGCATCCTGGGGCTAAAGTAATAGGCAAATTACGAACAACCCCAATAGATTCAATTAGAACTGTAGCAATACCACTGAGATCATGTATTTCAGATTTATCAATTTTAGCTCTCACGCGCTCAATGATATTTTCTGTTATAATAAGGAGTTTAGCTTCAGAATCAAGAGTTATAGCAGGGATCTTCAAACGCTTGATTTTACATTCTACAGTTGTAACACTTATTTTTAGCTCCTTTTTCTGAACAAAATCAATCTCCATTGGATCATTCAAATATTCGTCTTTCTCTAGATCTGGCAATATATCTTTGATAATTGAAATCTCATCACTTTGCTCCTGAATAGAAAGTACTTGTTTTAATGTATTAGCTTTAGAATCTTTGATAATAAGTGCAGGAAAAATTAATTTAAGTTCACTTTGAATAATCTTGCGGATTGTATTCTCTAAAGTGCTTTGTTTACTTTGCTTACTTTGTTTAGCTTTATCAGAGTTAACTATAGATTTCTCAATATCTGTCTTGTCAGTTTGCTTAACAGATTTATGTGACTTAGATTTTTTCTTAAACTGCTTCTTTGAGGATGATTTCTTGGGGCTAGACTTCTGCTTTATTTTTTTTTATCTTAGCCATATTAACATTAAGCTCAACTTTAGAATCAGAAGAATCAGAAGAACTTAAATCAGAATCAGAATCAGAACTATCACTAGATGAGGCATCAGAAGAGGAAGCTGAATTTGAGGCTGAAACTAAAGTAGCGAGATTAACTTTAGTTTTCTTAGACCTCTTTTTCTTCTTCTGAGTGCATTTGTGAGAATTATGTTCAGTTCAGTTACAGTTAGAGCACCGCTGTTGTGTCTTCACAGCTTTTTTAACCGCTTTAGCTTTATGAAACTTTAACTATTTTTTTGTAAGCTCAGCAAGTTCTTCGTCAGAATTAACTTCAACCTTTTTCTTTGGCTTTAGTGGCAAAGTAGGATTAGGAACAGGAATGAATTCTGGAGTTTCTCTCATAATCTATAACAAAAATCTACCTATATTTTCATCTCGTAAATTTTTATACGTTCCTGTAGGATGTGGTTAAAATTACGATGAAGCCACTTATTGAGACTGTTAGAATTCTAAGAATGCTATTGTATTTTTTACCAAGTTCTCAATTTTATTTTTAGTCATCCCACCTCCTGATTTATTAGTATCTACATAGGGGTTGGACGTCAGAAAAACTGGAATAGAAGATGGTATATTCTTTTGAGATAATGTATATTTTTTCGCTTCAACTAGGGCTTTTGTAATATTATCCTGAGTATCATAAAATTTAGCTATCATTCGAATATTATACTAGTTCATAGGATTTAAATCACGAATAAATTGATCTCTTTGCTGTTTGGGTATCATTTCAGCTAATTTATCAACCTTTTTGATTGGGCAGAAAACTGCTCAACTGACATATGGGCTCTTTGTAATAAAAAGGGAGGAAACTACCAAAAAAAATTTTTTTTTGTTTTATAAGCTAAATATTATTTTTTTAATAAAATAAGTTCAGATTTAACATTAACTCAAAAAAAATTTTTTTTGGTAGTTTCCTCCCTTTCTTTTGCAAAGAGCCCATTTATACTTGTTTTATTTCTTATAAAAAATTATTAATTTTTGCTCTATAAGGCAATGCAACTTCGATTTTTCGGTTCAAGTAACATTGAAATTTTAAAATCGACCGGAGTTTATTAATGATTATTTTTTTATTAATAAAAAAAGTTTATATAAATATTGTATCATCTGATTGGTCACTTTAAGGGGACAAGGCTGTGCAAAGATTCTGTGACGAAAATTCAGGATATTTTTTTTTTAATAGTAAAAATTTTATCATGTGACCTTACATAATTATAAAATCAAGAAAGTGACGAAAGAAGATTTGCCTAATCATATGACAATCACATTTCATTTCAAAATCATCTTAACTCCGTCAAAAATGCCTATTACACATGTGAAAATACGTTACAATTCTAAAGATTGGAAAGGTTTACCTGTTGAGAAAGAAACAAAAATAAAAGAAATATATTGATTCTATATTGGTGAGAAGCAGATTTTGAAGTGAAGTTTAGCCCATCAAAAACATTAGTTGGAGAAAAATTTCAGCACAATGTTATTACTTGGGAAGCTGCATGAAACTAATGAGTTGTAAGAAAGGAATGATACATAACGATAATACAATAAAGCTTTAATCTACCAATAAAATTACACATTAAAGTCACATGATAAACTTTTTATATTTAAACTTTTTAAAATTTGAAAAAGTGATCCGGCCGGGTGACATGAACCGAAAAATCGAAGTTTCGTGGCCTAATATGTATTTAGCATTTGTTTATTAAATTCAATGTTTTTGAAATAAATGCTTTATTTTGTAAAATCTAAAAAAGGAGTAAAATAAAACAAAATTCAATTCATTAAAGATGAACTTCTCTATATGGCAACATAAAAAATAAAGAAATAATAAATTTTCTATAGAAAAACTCCTCAAAGTTATTAAAGAAAGACTCCTCTAAAGACGGTCTTTAAAATAGAAATAAAAAGGAAATTAAAGTTTTTATCAAAAAAAAAAAATTTTTTGTGTAACAGCATACTTGTTTTTCATACACAAGGCCGATCGGAGTAACGATAATGTTTTCAAATTTGTATAGGAATTTAGTTCCACAAGCGTGAAAAAAAAAAAAAAAAAAATCAGAAAGTATTTAAATGAACATAGGACAAAAATAAATATTACAAAAACTTTAAAATGTATCGACAGCACATATTGTTTATTTTCCTTTTTCTATTGGCTACTATTGTTAATTCTTATAAACTTATCGGACGTGCTTTTCATACATCAAATTACATAAATGATAAAATTTATTTTCTTGGTGGGGGAATAGAAACGACGGAATATACCAATGATTTTTTTTATTTAAACGTTTCAGTACCCTTTACTCTAGATTCTTTGCCAATATTCAATGTATCTAGCAACGTTCAAATCGCTAAACATGGAAGAGCGACATCAACTGTTTGTGGTCATAATAAAGATACAATCTTTTTGTTTGGAGGTGACTTTGATGATGATGAAAGTGCGCTACCCTTAGTTTTTGCATTTAATATTAGCATTCCACAATGGACTAATGCAAATGTTAGAGGACTTGAACCAATAAGACGTAGGTGGTCATCATCCGCCTGTGATAAACAGAAGATGTATATTTTCGCAGGTTATAATTCTCATCAAAGTACCTTTAGAAATGATTTTGATATATTGGACATAAATCGATTAACTTGGTCATTGGGAAGTAAAGTAAACATCCCAAATCCTAGAGATGTAGCTACTGCAACTATATTATCAGACGGAAAAATAGTTTTTCTTGGAGGAAATGGTGATGGAAATATTATTAACATGTCAGAGGTTCGAAATAGTTTTTTTTAACTTTCTTCTTGTACCTGCTTTACTTAAATTTAATCAATTTTTTAACGATATGAAATTTTTTATTTTATCATGTAAAATGTAGATTAATCTATATGATACTAATAATGATAAATGGTCACAAATGGTACTAACCTACTTAAAATGTCCTTAAAAATCTTAGATATAAATTTACTTATTCTTTCTTTCAAATGTTCATAGGTTACAAATGGTACACCACCAGCGGGTCGAATGGGTCACACAACCGTCTTAAGTGAGAATGTCTATCTTAAGATTTTATTTTGTACTGTCTTAATTTTATTTCAAATTAAAGAAGCTATTGCTTTCATCGTTACATTATAGCAAAAGATGGACGTATTATTGTCTATGGAGGGCAAACTTTTGATGGTCCTCTTGCTCATCATGATCAATTATCAGTTTTGGATACTACGGAGCAAATATTTAGATGGTCAATTCCTGAAATCAAATATACACCTATTTCCGCACCTTACGTTGGGCATACGGCTACTCTTGTCGGAAATTATATGATAGTTGCTTTTGGTATAGTATGATATCTTATCTTGTTTAAATTAAATATACTAATTGAACTACTAAAGAAATTATACATTTCATATAGGGTTAATCTATAAAGATAAAAATAATCCCCGTGTTTTTAGTAATCAAATACTTATGTTGGATGTAAGTGATAAAAATGATTACAAGTGGGTCACAAATTTTACTCCAAATACTACTACTACTGTGTCGGTTCTAAATATAATTATTAAAACAGTTATTGTTTTTATATTTGTGATAGTGATATTTATTATCGTTATTTACTCATTATATCGTTATAGAATTAGTAAAAATACGAATGAGCATACCCCATTGTTGAATAACGATAATTGCTAGTTGTTACATTTGTTATTTAAACATTTTACATTTTGTATTTAAGTATTTATTTTTATCATAACCGTTACATTATATTTTTTATTTTATAAAATTTATTGTTATAATCACGTTCTTTTTTTTTTTTGTTTATAAAAAAAAAAATAAATTTTTAATTCATTCTATATATAATTTACCCTTATAGCGATCATAAAATTCGTGCTATAAAAAGTGCTTAATTTATATTGGTCGAAAATTAGGCGAAAAAGCAATATTTAATACGCGTTAGTCCATGCAGTACTACTAAAAAAAAAAAAAATTTTTTTTTTTATTTGCACAATGGACAGGATAAAGTTGGTGGTGGAAGAATTTTAGTATATTAAAATAATCTGATGTTGAATAAAATAAGTTTAATAAGCAAATAAAAAATCTTAAGACAATTGTGGTCTAGCGTTCTCTCTATTTTTTTTTAAAAAAAAATACCGAATAAAATTTTTGCTTATTACATTTGCCAATAATTTGCTTAGTAATGCTTATCGAATATCGTTATCAATGAAAATCATATATAAGGTTCAAAGATCATTTAAAATCGTACTCATAAACTCTCTCCTCCATG